AAAACATTTGACAGCGATACAGGCTGCATTGGAGACTGAATCACACGTGATGTCAGAGAAAAGGAGATTGGCTGAGGCGGTGCCCCAAATTTGGCAGGGTGCTGAATGCTGAAGGTGACTCGGAGATGGTAGAACCTAAATGAAGGAATAAAAGAAATGGGGGTCGGAAAATTCCAACCAACCCAGATAGGAGAGCAGTCATTCGGTGGAGGGAAAGATAAAAGACCAAGAAGGTGGGGCCAGATGGGAATTGAGTGTTACAGATGCGGAGGACGAGGGCATATTAAGAGAAACTGCGCAACTCCACCAAACGGGTATGCGGGAAACGAATCACGACCAACCCCAGGGGCCAGGGCTGGGTCGGGAATGCAGACAGGCCCAGGCAACCCCAACAAGCAGTAAAAATGGTGCAGGGACGGAGGGGACAGGGTACGCAGGCAGGGGAGACAAAACTAGATACAGCGACCCCCCCAGCAACTGAAAGTAGACCCCTGCCTACCGTACATGACTATACAAGGGCAACAAGTGGTATATTTGTGGCAGGCAGAATAGGAGGATTACAGGGATATTTTTTAATAGATACAGGGGCATCAGGAACCCTGTTGTCAAGAAAACATTATGAGCGTATACCTGAGATGCAGAGACCTGCATTGGAAGCCATGACGACTCTGATCCGGCAAGCAGATGGTACCTTGATGAAACAGCATGGTGGAGCTAATATGGAGGTACGCATAAGTAAATACAAAACCACAGCCGATGTGATTGTAGTGGATATGGAGACTGATGCAATATTGGGGATGGAATTGCTGATTACCTTAGGCTGTGTAGTGGACATAAAGAATCTACAGCTGAAATTTCTTGATGAAATAGTCCCATGTTATGACTGGAAGGCCCGTACTCTTTGTGCCAGAGTGGTGCTGAGAAAAGCAGTTGATATTCCTCCTGGCAGTGAAATGTTAGTACGATGTGATGCTAACAGAAAGATCCCAGGCTCTCGGCAGGGAATGGTGATACCAACAGATAAAAACCCGATTGCGGAAAGAGGAATAATGGTGGCAAGAGCGTTAGTATCAGATTGTAATGGGGTAATACCAGTACGGTTGTTGAATGTAACCCCACACCCGATACATGTAAAACAAGGCACTGCAGTGGGGATGTTGGAGCCGCTATCAGAGGGGGAAGGTGTGGTTACAGCAGAGAGGGATAAAGAAAATGAGGTACCACTGAAAGAAAAGCAACTGCCAGAATATTTGCATGATATATGGAGGCGGAGTACAACAGAGCTGGATGACGGTGAAGCAGAAAAGGTAGCGGCATTGCTGATGAAGTATGCAGATGTATTTTCCAGGGGTGATGATGATATGGGGTGTACCAATCTGGTTAAACACTCCATTAATACAGGTGAGGCAGCTCCTATTAGGCAACCCTCAAGAAGACTACCAATTTGGCAGAGAGAGGAAGCGGGGAAGCAGGTGGAAAAGATGCTGAAAGCCGGTATTATTGAACCAAGTTGTAGTCCCTGGGCTTCACCAATTGTGTTAGTAAAGAAAAAAGATGGTGGGACAAGGTTTTGTGTTGACTACAGGAAGCTGAATGATGTAACAATTAAAGATGCGTATCCAATTCCCAGCAATAGATGACTCTCTGGCCAGTCTGTCAGCGCTTGCTGGTTTTCTACCTT